GAGCCTGCAAGACTACAACGAAAACTCCCCCCTCAGAAGATATGTGGAATGTGCCGTCGCTATGGCAACTCAACTCTGTCTCCTATCCCAGCCTGGGCGGGACTGCCGGAAGGCCGCTGAAACTAATGATGCTTTATTCAGTTATCTACCAACATCTACTTAACATTTCAGAAGAGCAGCAGATTAAAGTTAAATATTTAGGATGATTTAAAAGAAAAGTGTCCCAAAAATTATTTTTCTTCAAACCTCCACATCAACATCATGCAAACAAAATAAAACCCCACTGAAGTTAGTTTTAGGTTGTAAATATGACGCATGTTCATGGCTGAGAGTTTTTAATGTTTCATCAAGTTGTGACACCGATACAGCAGGTCTGGTTATGTCTTTGTGTTGCTGCTGATCACAGCTGATCATTTAGTTACAGTGTACAGGAAATAAATCAACTCATTTCAGTCCATGTTACTGGATTTTTCTATTAGATTAAACTGATGGTTTACATCTTTAATTAAGGGACCTGCTGCAAGCAGTGTGTTCATTATGTGTGTGTTCAGCACGTGTGTTCATTGGGGTTTAATATTTGTTGCGGTGCACCCCCATAAATGTTTTATCAAAGTGATCGGCTCGGCTGCGGGGAAGTGCAGTATGTCATATTTGGTTGATCAAAGATTTTTGATTTGGGTGTGTGTTACGAGTGTGCTAATTGCGCATGTGTTTACGTGTGTATTCATTGTGAATGTTTACATGATGTGTTCAATAAAAACATAGAAACATATAATTGTATATGTGGTATTAGTTCAAGCAGGGGCTGCACATTGGTGCAGTGGTTAGAGCTGTTGCTTTGCAGCAAGAAGGTCCTGGGTTCACATTCCAGCCTGGGGTCTTTCTGCATGGAGTCTGCATGTTCTCCCTGTGCATGTGTGGGTTCTCTCCGGGTGCTCCGGTTTCTTCACACAGTCCAAAAACAAGACTGTCATGTTAATTGGTCAATCATAATATTCCTTGTGGGTGTGCTTGTTCTTCGTTGTTTGTCCCGTGTGTCTCTGTGTTGCCCTGCAATGGACTTGGAATCTGTCCGGGATGTACCCCACCTGTTAACCGCTGGAGATAGGCACCAGCCCCCCGTGACCCTGCATGAACAAGCAGGTTCAAATAATGGATGGATGGATGGTTCAAGCAGACTTTGATTGTCTATCGTTGTGACTCTGATGAAGAGTTTCTGGTTCAATGACGTCAATTTGTTGATGCACATTTAAAGTCCTGGGTGTATTTTCACACAAAACCTAAAATAACCTTTGAAAGTAAGAACTTTCTTAGCATCAAAATGCAGATTTAAAACTCATGGACATCATATGTGAAATCCATGGCACATAAACGGGATTACATTCATTTTTTGGTTCTTCAAAGACCCATGGTCCAGATCAGGCTCCCTATTGGTTAATGCTGAGTGACGCTCATTTTAAATTGCATGGGGCTGCACTGGACAGGGGATAGGCTTAGCAAAAAAAATTGGTCCTTGTCAGACACGTGACCTGCATGTCAACCACACCCCCTAGCACCATTTTAGGTGTATGGCTCGTGTTGCTAGGGTAAGCTGAAGTTGAGGCAGAACAAGAGTGAAAAGGATGGATAAAATGGACAAGGACGAACACATCCCTTACAGGAATAAACTTCTGAAGGAGGATAGAGGTCAGTGTTTTCTGAAATTGTCTACTGTCGACATTGTAGATCCCTACGACCTCAAAGGAAACAAACAGAGCTCAGACGTTTCATTACTGCTGATACTATTTCACTTGAGTAAGTAACACTACTTCAACCTATTTATAATCAAGTAAAAGTAAAACGTAGTCATTCAAAAACATGACTCCACTAACACAGGAGCTGCGCCAGGTTTTATTTTCTGGATGGGCCTTAATTAAACAAGTTAATACCAGTTTAAGTTAGAAGCAGTTACAGAAACAATCCCTGCATGCGGAGATCAAGCTATAGACATTTTTGTTTTCATTTAGACGAGTTTAAAAACGGTCACGATCGTTTCCTCCCATCATTTTTATTTCTCACATAATAATAAATAAAAATTCACAATTTAATTTTCATTAATATTTAGTCTAAACAAGCTGACCAGTGTCCAGAAACATATCAATGTTACAGTTAGTAGGAACATTTTACCTGCTGCTGGGCTGTGACTCACAGCTACTCAGCACTGAGAACGAGCTCTGATCATGGAGTCCAGGTCTGAGATAATGCTCAGATGTTCTGATGGGAATCTTTTCTTGTTGTAATTTGTTACCTCTGTGATGTTCTCTGTGCTTAACAGGCCCGGAGTGGCTAATCGGGAGGGTCTGGAGAATTCCCGGTGGGCCGCGCGATGTTTGGGCCGCATGGGCCGGTGCTCTCGTTTTTGTTTTTTATCATTTTATTTTTATTTTTTGGTGCCGGTGTTCAGTCATGGCACTGAGGCCGCCGGGCTGATCTCATAATGCTCCTCCCGGCTGTCTCTACCTGCAGGCTGCAGCTCGTTTTTTTTTTCTTTTTCCCCTATATGCGCCTGTGCGCACCACGTGACCACGCAGTTGACGGAAAGATGGAAAGTAGAAAGAGCAAGGGGGGCGCGGAAAAGGCAAGAATTAAAAAGAGGAAAGCGCTGAAAACAGATGCAGCTAAATGTGCAAAAATGAGCACCTTTTTTTCTCAAACAAGCTCGCGGTCTTTAACTTCAAATGAAGATAAAACAGATAAGGCAAGTCAAGATGTTAAACTTTACCGGCTGCAAATCACCATTCAAGTTAATTAAGCATCAATAATGAATTATATGGCGTCATGACATAACGTTATGTAATATAGTTAACAGTATGATGTGACTGATGCCACCAAACTGTCTTGTAGCCCCTCAGAGTCAAACACAAGATCCAGTAGGCCTAATAAGCACCAGGCAGAAACCCACAATTCCAGAGCGGACATGTATAGGTAGGATTACTTATTGAGTCAGTGAACTGAATATTATTAAAATTTATATGATAAAAACTATCCTGGCTCTATATGAAAGTGTTCTAAAATGCTAGATGACTCAGCATTGATCAGAAAGCGTGTAAAAAAGGAAAATGAATGCTGAATTGTGACTATTTTCACACAGTGTGATTTAGTGTCAGAAGAAGAGCCAGGAGCCAGCAGTGAGGGTATTGCTCCTGTTGGGATAGAAGGTGAGCCAACTCATGTGCAAACAAGCAAACATTAGTTTCATTATAATAATTTTAATGTCCAAATAATAGTAGGGACCTGTTGTATTTTTATTAGTAAATGCACAAAGCCCACAACAGATCGCTATTAGAATGAAAGTAAAATGAAATAAGCCTGCATATTTTGCCATAGAAAATATTTTAATTGGTTACAAAAAATGTGTTTTCCATATCAAATGTGCTAAAGCTTTACAGATGATTATTTTAATTGTGTGCAGGTGAGTCTAGGGAAACTGGAAAAAGTGTGAAAGGGAGTGCTGAGTCATTTCATTTTAAAGGTTTGAAAATCTCAGAACAGCTGTTTGAACAGAAGGTAGATTGTTATATTGTTAGAGAATGTGTTGTAAAGAACAATGTTGGAGATGTGCACTGATGTTCAAATAAACCTACATTGTAAAGCAACTCTTTCTTGCACTGAATTACAAGGCATTACCGAGTAGTGTGCTTTTGTAGACTATACATATAAAGTTCTAACATGATTTTAATAATAATTCGTTAAGTGGGCCGTTCTGGGGTCTGAAACTCCAGGGCTGAAAATGTGTCCCACTCCGGCCCTGGTGCTTAACGTGTATGTCTGCACACCCGTGTGCGTCGCGGTTATTCCAGTCTGTTAGAATGACCGACAGCCTTGAGATTTCAAAAGAAACTGTTAAAAACGGAAAATATCCTGTTAACCAACACATTCTCCCACCCAAAGCGAAATGACATTTGGTGAGCAAGCGTTTGTTTCCGACGTGTTGGGAGGCGACGTGCTGTGCCAGAGCGTCGTTTTCCAACTGCAGCTGGAAAACTGAGAATTCACTGAATTGTGACCTTTACCCTCTTGCTCTTTAACCTTCCCCTTACCTCCATCCTAACCTTAACCCTCTTGCGCATGCAAAACTTTGTTTCTAGTTGTAACATCCCTTTCAAACACAGTTAACGGGAAGTTTCGAATGAGAAACTGGGTTAAGGTTAGGATGGGGGTGAGGGGAAGGTTAAATAGCAAGAGGTTAGAGGTTAAATGTTGGTAAAATGTGCATTTTACCGACAGAAACCGACGCTCTGGCACAGCGCGCCGCCTCCCGACACGTTGGGAGTCCAAAAGCATCAGAAACAAACGCTTGGTCACCCATCACCATTTTTCTACGCTTCGGGTGTAAGATTGTGTTGGGTAAATTTTTTTGCCTTCTTGTGCATGACAGCCCTTCACACAACAGGTGTACCATTTTTTGCAGGATTATAAGCTCACAACACACAAAGCGACAGGTGCTTCCTTTGTTTGTACACCTAGCTGTCCCATCATGCAACACGCAACAGACAAGGACTGATTGACTTGTTAAATCGCAGTTAAGAGTAAGACTATCACTTTAATGGATTTCTAAAATATCATAAACCCTGGAAATGGGTACACTGTAAATACCCCTAGCACCCACACTTGCCCTGTAAGTGAGCAAACAAAATGCCTAATCAACCTCATAAAGACAATCCACACATTACATCTAATACTGTTCATGCTGAATTTGCCTGCAGGTTGTGTGTGTGTGTGTGTGTGTGTGTGTGTGTGTGTGTGTGTGTGTGTGTGTGTGTGTGTGTGTGTGTGTGTGTGTGTGTGTGTGTTTGCTTTTTGATAGGTGCATGGGGATCAGAAGCTGCACTTTGTTCTGGTGACCATCACTATTAGATTACTCACCTTTGACCTCCTGCACTGCCAATATTGAGCTTACTGAGAAACAAGTGCGTCTACAAATCCTCAAGCCGAAACCAGTTTGTCACGTGACCAGTGTGTGTGTGTGTGTGTGTGTGTGTGTGTGTGTGTGTGTGTGTTTAGCTCCTATTTCCGCGTTCACCGCGGGAGCTGGATGAGTCTCCAGCGCCTTGTGTCTGCAGTGAAGCAGCGTCGCCGTGCGGGGGATCTGCCAGGCTGCGGGAGGACCCTCACGCAGTCTGATCGTCTGTGCCCAGCCGGAGCATGCTGACGCGGGTGAAGTCGGCGGTGGCCAGCTTTATGGGGGGAATGATGGCCGGTGGCTCCAACGGAGACCATGATCCCAACGGGCCGGACCTTCCGCTGAAATACCCCTACAGCAGACCGGAGTTCCTCGGACTCTCGCCGGACGAGGTGGAGTGCTCGGCGGACCACATCGCCAGACCGATCCTCATCCTGAAGGAGACCAAGCGGCTGCCGTGGTCCACCGGCTACGCAGAGTGAGTACCCTGCGTCCATCTTTACGGCAGAGCCGCCGCAGCATCCTTCAGGAGGGAGAAAACACAACAACCGAGAGCTTTCACTGTTTTTATGACCCGATTCCGTCTAGTTATAATTAGATGCAAAGATAAAGTGCAGCAGCTTGTTAATCCCTCAGTATCACGCAGATCTTTGGAGTCCACTCTCACTGTGATGCAAAGATAATAAGGTCACTGAAAATCTAAGTGTTTTTGATTTGCATCAGAGTGAGAATCCCAGCCTTAGATTCTCTTTCTTCCCCTCATCCTTTCAAATCCTCTTATGCAATAATTGATGGCTAAATCATGTGTTCTATTATTCATATAACTCTTAGGCTGGGTGGATATTCACCTCCCTGCACCCCCTAGGCTGCAATAAACTGGTTTGTTTTGTATTTGTAATGGACCTGCTATGAACAGCATTCCATCCGGATGCAAAAAGGGTCATTTGTTATGCGTTAGCAGCGAGCTAAGACATCAGATGACCAGAGGAATTGACTGAAAATGAAGTAAGATATTTAGAGGAGCCAGTACAGCTGCCTGAAGTTTGAGTAACATATTAATTACACCTCCATCAACTGTATAAACAAGGAGAATCAAGATCAAAAGAAACGTTGATGCTGCTGCCTGAGATTGATTAGGGTCACCATGGCAACTCCACTCAGGAAAGCTGTAAAATATATCAAAATGCAATTTTATCCATCCAATTTTCCATGACTTGTTTCAAGTCTGATGGAGCTCACTTGTTTCACCACATTTCTGTTTTCAGTAAATTTTGTGCTATTAAAAATCAACGCATACGGTTTTTGATTGACAGTGAGATTCAGTGATCTTTGCAGCTCATTCCAGTCCTTGGAGCAGCAAACTTGAATGAGGAGCGGCCGAAGAAGGTGTGAGCTTTGGGAATAACCATAGGGATTAGGTTACTGGAACATAAATTGCGCTGGTTGTTGGAAGTGATGAGTAATGAGCGAAGATATGACGGGGTTCTACCGGGGACTGTTTTGTATTTAAATTGATACCAACAACCTGCGGGAATGGAGTGATGGCCAGGTAACGAGTGAGTACAGATCATTATGATGAGTAGTAAAAAAGGCACTATTGACGAAACAGATTGCTGAGTGATAAATGACATCGAGTTTATGAAGACGTTTTTGGAAGCAGTCCTATAAATGATGTCACCGTAATCTTATAAGATAGGAAGGATTGTCATTTTGACCAACACATTCTCACAAACAAGACGTCAAAATATGACGCGTGTGACCAAGCCTCAATATATGACGATTCGGGACGCCCCAGCGCATCAGGAGACGACGATCAGGGACACGCTGGGTCACGTGGCTCCGCTGGCATCACTGTTTGACGCGCGCGGTCACACGGACATTATTCGACTATTTAACCTTCCCCTCACCCCAATCCTAACCTTAAGGTCCATAAACTGTGACCTTAAGGTTAGGATTGGGGTGAGGGGAAGGTTAAGTAGTTCACAAGTAGTTCTAATGTCCGTCTCACCACCGGCGTTGGTTACCGACGCTCTGGGACAATGCGTCAGCTGTTTGTTCCTGATCGTCATATCCTGACACGCTGGGGCATCCCGAAACGTCATATATTAACGCTTGGTCACATGCGTCATATTTTGACGCCTTGGGTGTGAGAATGTGCGTTTTGACCACGGTTTGCTTTGCAGAATGAGTAAAGGATGACCTGTTGGTATAGAAACCCAATTCTTGACTTGACTTTAGAAAGCAAATCCTTGCAAATTGTAGGAAATCACATATTTTCTTTGTTTTCACGGTTTAATAATTATTATGGTAAATGTATTATTTATAAATGAAGCACCTTCTAGGGTTCTGATGCTGAACCAGCATCCCATCTTGGACCAGCATACTGGTCCAGCAGGATTATTTAATGATATTTGGACATCTCGCCGAGTCTCATCTCGTCTTTCATGTGGATGATTGGTCAAACTGTAGAAAAATATATTCTTTTTGTGCGATGCCTGGTGAAAAAATTTGCTATGTCCAATTTCTGTACATTTAACCAGATCATAATCCATTCACTGTGAGAGTGTTTTGAAAAACTTTCAGCTACAAATTATATTTTACCTATTGTAAAAGATTGGCACAGTTATGGTGTTTAAATGTTAAATAGTGTGGCCATTGTTACTTGGGTTAGCTCTAGAAGTTATGCAATTATTAAGATGCATCCAATGACTGCTTTCTGGGATTTTAATTCATGAGACAGAGGCAAAAACATTATGATGCACCCCTCTCCTTGTGGTGGCGTGTGATAAGGAAGGTAAAATGCAAACACATTGGGACATAATTAAGATAGTTTGTGACAAAACTGCACCTAGAAAATTAGCACAACTGTCCCCCCGATTGTCACAATTAGCTTACACTTTCGCCACATGCCCCACATGACTCGGCTATATGCAAAACTTGCAAACTTGTGAAACATATTTTCTGTATGTAACATAAAACATTTTATACTTTTTCCCAGCTAGTCAAGGATACGTGGAAATGTGTATTTGACTGTAGCATCAGCCAGGACTGAGAGGGTGTGGACACCTGTCTGAGATATAGCAGTACCAGCCAATGCAGGTCAAGTCAACATGAGGTGCTGTAATTGTCTTTAGAGACAGTCTGTTGCATGGAAGGGTTAAAGTGGTCCGGTGGTCATTAAATATAGATTCAAACTAAAAGCCTGTATGGATGCATTGAAGACAAGTTGGATACAGAGTGAGATACTTCTCTAATGACAATATTTTCAGTAACTCAATAGAAAAGTAATACACTAGCTACTCTTTCATTCTTTATAGTCTATTGTAGTGGTAATCCCTATAGTTTCTCTGCACTCGTGACCGTTTATTCTTTTGTCAAGAACGTTCATGATGATAATCAGCGTTGTGAAGTAAAATCATACTGATGGGTCTAGCAGAGCGACTTGCAAAGCTCTAGTTCACTTCCACATGACTAGGCCTGTATCCAGACTCATTCCTATGTTGCTCTCAGGGAGACAGGAAGAACAGTTGAGCTTTATTGGGGGAATCTGATGCAGTGGGTGCATGGTCCAGTGAGTACGGAGTGGATCAGTGGTTATTGTTCACTCCAACTTAAGTCACCTTCACTTCTTCAACAGACAAGCTCACTTTATATTCCAGACACAGTAACCACAGCTGGTTCCTTCACTAGTTATTATTGTAAAGATAATTTATGCAGCTTGACACCTTATCAAGACACAGAAATATTAAAACTAGAGCCAACATGGCTGAGTTCTTTTTTATATAGATGATAAAGGTTGTAGTAGCGGTTCATGCAAACTAGAGATCGACCAAAATGGGTTTTTCTAGTGCCAATGGCGATATGTAGAGGCCATGATCAGCCAATGGCCAGTATGTGCTGCCAATTTTGGGCCAATAGTTGTTTTTGTTATCTAGACAGTTTGTGCCTTATTTGCATGCTAAAATGTGAGTAATAACAACTGATGCACAACTCTGAACCTGAAATCATGTTTAACCTCTGAATTAACTAATTCTTGAATTTTAATTTTGCACACTGTAATATAAAACAAAAGATTCAACCAAAGCCGATCAAGCAAATCAATAAACGGACAGAGACTTAAATATAAAATAGATTAATAAGAATAATTATCAGTTCAAAATATTGTTTTAAAGCATTTATTAAGCAGATTATTTTCAGGAACACAGATATACATTTAAATAAAATTCGGCAGCAGCATAGTCTGCCCACAGGTCGACACAACAAAAGAGGCATATCGGCCAATGCCAGTATGTAAAAAATAATCCTAGACATAGATAGATCTGTCTATTTCTAATGAATGCCTACACTTGAATGATCACTTTACTCTGCTTAATACTGAAAAGAAAAATTATGAGCTGAAAAATGTTATGAATCTCTTGTGCCATAACTCAGACAAGAATGTTAAATCCTATTCCTTCCACGTTTACTTGTGTCAAATAAATGGCAAAATAAAACAATTATGAACATGTGCCCTTCAAAAGGTTTGAAGATTGCATTTATGCGAATGCTGTTTTACTTAGTAACAGTAAAGGACATCTTTGGGACCGCTTTTCCTGTGGGAATAGTAATGATAACATAACACAACAAAATGCATAGGTCATATAATACAAATGCATTTTTATGTACTTCACACGCATTTTAAAAATAAAACTCAATGAAGCCCCATTCATACAAAAGAAAAGCTTCTGTCAGTCTTACCCCCAAATGATCCAAGGACCACTACCAATCCTCGGTCCAGTGGTGGGAGACACCTGTGCAATCATGTCTTCTGTACTCGGACTTCACATGGGAGAGTAAAAGCTTCACAAAGGGCAAAGATCAGTTGTCGCAGTGGGATTTCATCCCACTCATTCTCTTCCTATCAGATCCAGATCCATTAATGTGCAACCCCAGCCATGTGTGATCAATGGTTAATCAATACGCTTGTCTGTAATCTAAACATGCGTGCTACTGACATGTTAGCAGGTCAGTAGGCTGTCAGGTGTGAGCGTCTGAGTTACTTTGGTTTCTTCCTCCTACAAAGAAGTTGTATAATGTTAATGTGAGTGTTGGACTATGGAGTGGAAGCACATGAGCAGCATTGCACACAAAGAGCTTCCCAGTGCTCAGTCACATGACGCAGCACATGTTCTTGTGTTGTTTCTCTTTCATCCGCATGGCTCTGGAGGAACAGGTCAATGTTGTTTCACTTCCTGGACAGATTTATAAATCTGTTCATTAAAGCAAAAAGAGAGAATGTGAGGGAAATAGAAGCTTTGTGCAACGACTAAGAAAGCAATGCAATGTGTAAAAGTAATTCCAATAATAAATAAATAATGGCCTATTTCAAATCTTGATTTTTTTAAACATGTTTGCTTGTCACTGCTTCTGCATGATGATTTCACTGGATCTGGTTAAACACAAAAGAATCATTAAATTAGAGCAAGAACAACAGTTTATAATATATTACAATAAAATTAAAAGATGCTTAAATATCTAAAAACAAACTGTTTTGGTTTTCTTTTCTCTTTGCCCCCGGCTCTGTTTTCTCCCCACAATCTGGCATCTGTGCTTTTTTTGTTGTGCAACACTGTGAAGCAGCCAGTCACTCCTGATCTGCATTGATCTGTTTGCTAAGTTTGTGAAATTCACATAAAAACCCAACACGTTCCTGTGGTTCAAACATGTCCCAAAGCAAAGGTGGAAAACTTTTATCGAACCTGACCTGAAGCAAAGATACGCATCAGGTTCTCACACGTTAGTAATCAGAATAAATCTGACATCTTGTTTGGCAAATGAGATTATGTGTTACAGATTATCCTTTATGTGTAAAAAAAAATCAGTTTATTTTAATTTTCTAAACTTAAATCTCACCAATAGTCAGTGTTGAGTTTGTGTTAACAGTAAGGACACACACACACACACACACACACACACACACACACACACACACACACACACACACACACACACACACACACACACACACACACACACACACATGCACGCACGCACGCACGCACGCACACACACACACACACACACATGCGCACGTACACACACCATCTAAGGTTATGCAGTGAAACCAAGCAACTAAGCTGTGCAATAAAATAAAATAAATAAAAAGAATTATCAAGGTCACAACATCAGTGAACGGTGGCCCAGAAGGTTCAACTAAGTACGAAACCACAACAAAAATGCACAAAAGAAGTCATAATAAAACAGTTGTAAAGATATTATGAAATGAAAAAGCATAATATGTTTTTAAAATATCCATATAATTTTTAAACAAGGAAGGTACACAATGACTTTATATCTTTATATCAATTTAACAGGTGAAACTGCTATGCTAGCAATTAGCCTCTATGCTAGCAACATGTTGCTCCGTATCTAAGCGGTTATTACATGTATTCTCACAAGTTTGCTCAATCTGAGAGCCTCTGGGTAAATGTAATGCTCTAAACTTTGCATTTGGCATCCTGGTTTCTAATTATTTGGGGATGTTCAACGCCAACAGAGTTCCATTTTCCATTCTACTTGTGTGGAGAGTAGTGATGTGTTGGTCGCGAACGGGCCGGCTCTACGAGCCGGCTCTTTGAAGTGAACAACGGGAGCCGGCTCGTAATTGGGAGCTGTCCCCTCCCCCCTCCCCTCTTGCTTTGGTGAAAGCTACAGGCGATTGGTCAACATGTGCAACTGCGTGTCCAGACTGTCCGCACACAGAGCAGTAGGGGCGGGGAAGAGTATGAAGGTCAATCTGTTTCAAAAAGCACAAACCTGTAGATCTGTTGTGTGTATTTGTACTACATGATGGGTGCTTGAAAACAGTGTGTGTGTGTGCGTGCAGTACAGTGTGAGGAGCTGTACACCAACACCCGTAAACCTGTAAAGCTAAATATGCACCTGTAAGAAACACTCACATGCATTTGAAATAAAATACAGTTGTGTGTGACATTTTCAACTACAAGTCTGTAAACACAAGTGTACAGATCTGTTTCTGCACACGCTCAACTTTTTTATTACAGTTGCACAGCTTTCCTCTCACACATCTGATTTTTGAAACTATTTTCACGATTAATATGTGTCAAAATGCACAAGTTTGTAAATTTGTTGTCTGATTCCGTACAACACAATGTGGACTTGAAGATTGGATGTGAGTGTGTGTACCGTAAAAGGTGAGCTTGAAGTTTTGAGGTGAGTGTCTGTGCATTAAAACGTGAGAAGCTGCACATCAACATGTGTGAAATTGTGAAGATAAATGGTACTTGTAAGAAAAAGTAAATTGTATGTGAAACAAAATAAACTTACATGTAAAATTTTCTTCTGCGACCCAGTAAATACAACTTCTCAAATACGTTTCTGCGCATGCTCAGTTGTTGTTTTACAAGCGCACAACTCTCCTCTCGCGAGTCTGACTTTTGAAACACTTCTGGCAGGTTGTGTGTTGCAAATTGCAGCTGTGTGTATCTGCAGAGGCGAGCGGAGCAGGGGATGAGGGCGAGGGTGGGGGCGGAAGGAGGAGCCACAGAGGGAGGGTTGTCATTGGTCGGCTCTGGTTTCCAGGACAACAGGCTCAACCAATCAGAGTGAGAGCTGCGTTTTTCCCTCGGCTTTCAGTCCGCTGCCGTCTGCAGTTCGCGATGGCTGAACGAGCTGGGGTAAGTACATTTCAAAGGACTTTCTAAACTTATTTTAGTCATTTCCTCGTCTTTTTATTTAAACAAGGTGACACACTAACATAACGTCATGCTATTTATACCATTATTAAGGCCTTATAAGATATTTGTACAAATATGTAGTCTAGCTAAAGTTTATATGAGCTGCTTTGCTAAGTTAGCAGAAACAAAAACGCCACTGCTAACACTGAAGTCTTGCATTAAGGCCACTGTGTTTGGGTATAATCCCAGGGGTGTTTCTCAATGTCAGGCTTTGAGGACACTGTCCTTCCTTGGTCAAAGAAAACAGTTAAATGGAGCTGACTTGCGTCACGTGACCAGGGCTCCCGTGATGGTCACATGATGTGCGGCAAAGTTATAATTATACTTATAAGTTGTATAATGAGCATTTTACTTTTTAAATTGCGTGTATATTGCTTGAATTACATGTATAAGGGAGTTACTAATTGCTGGCCATCAAAGCTGCAACGATTAGGCAGCACCAACTAACCAACTTCTGATTAAAAAAATAAACATTTTAGATATCAGCCTGATAGTTACAATTAGTTTTTTTAATCACCAGTAAAACAATAAAAAGTAATCATTTGAAACCTTTAACTCTTGTTTCCTTTCTCGGGGATCCTATTAATAATAACTGTTACATGTGATATTTAAAATCTGCATTTGATGGCTCTTTTAGTAACCCTTCATTTTTGTTTTTCAGGAACTGCTGCTCAACTATCTGCTTGAAAGACTTTACAACCGTTCCTCTAATTGGCTTGATCGAGTTCCTCTAGATCTCGATTTTTTGGAATTTGTATGTTGTCAGGAGCTGGTTATTCTGGGTGCTATCTCAAACCATTTGACGTCCCTCAGGACATTTTAAATGCACTTGCCCAAGTTTATCAGAGACCTGCAGTCAAAATAAAAAAGCACAAATTATTGTTGCTCACGAAAGAGGAGCCATTGGTCGTCCCAAACTACTTATTCCTGAGAAATACACAGAACACCTCATTTCTTTAGGTTTACCTGTCACGTGTATTGCACAGCTGCTGGGGATATCTAGAGTTACATTACACAGGCAAGTGAAAGAATGGGGTTTAAGTGTGAGCCAAACTTACAGCACCATGACTCACGATGAGCTAGACTCTCTAGTGTCACAGATCCATGCCAGAAACCCAAATGCAGGGTATAGATTGATAATAATAATAATGCATTGAACTTATATAGCGCTTTTCAAGTCACCATGATGAAAGGTCTGCTGAAGTCACAAGGATATAGACTTCAGTGGGAGCGTGTTCGGTCCTCTATGCGCAGATTAGACACTGCAGGCGTGGTTTCCTGAATGTCCTATCTCCGTTGTGTGGTCAGAAGAACGTATTCTGTGCCTAGCCCACAATCATTTTATTGCAGGAGCTTTACATTCCACAGATTGAATGGGAATCCAGTGGACTCATCGACAATGAACACAACTCTAGTGTTCAAGTTCCAGAAGTTGAATGCCCGCTAAGTCCAGGAGAATATTCTGGACTCTGTGCAGCTGTGGATCCACTGAGGTCAATCTTGGGATTGACAGTTATTTAGCCACACGGCATTACATGCAAACCATTGGCTATAATAAAATCTTTCATTTTTTGCATCTTGTCATCAATGACTTGTATAAAATGTCTGTGAAGGATCTTCATAAGTCTCCATTATCTAACTGAACACGTTATTTTAATCTCCGTTATCTCTTACCACATCTGAACTTGAAAGTACAGATTAAATGACTCGTGAGCATTTGAAAATGTTTGCATGATAATATTCTTCGATGGCAAACTAAAAGAATTAAACCTTCTTAAGTTAAAATTATAGTAATCTTGTGTGTACAAAAAATCTAACTGCCCTTTCTTATTCTCTTGGATATTGAAATTCCCAAATTTGTGAGAATAATGAAAGTTTTGTTGCAATTTGATGTTTTTTTTTATTTAAAAACCTGCAAGTCTAACGTGTTAATATAGGTTACAATCATTTGTGAATTCAATAAAATTTTTTAAGTTTTTAAAAATTTTTTTTATTAATAACATCTTGAACTTAAGCAAGTGACAGGAAAAAACATTTAGCATTAAGCTACAAAAATATTGTTCTATTGTCATGACCCTGGATGCAGCAACGTTTTGTTTGTTGCATATGTATAAAATGCAATCTTGAAAATGATTTCTCTACTTGTAAAATTACAATAAAACATTTATCATATAACACAGCTGTGCCTTACTTGTAACTCAATATTCCTGAAACTTTCAGCTGTAACTTGATGGTTAAATAAAAAAAAGATTTGTTTGGTATAACCTGAACAGCACTGGCAAATAGCATGACGTTAAACTTTAGATCAATCCAAAACCATGAACATTGGTTGCTATGCAACTTTCAAGATGATTGCGAAACATCAAATGTTGTGTAGTGGCAGGGCAGACGTAGAATATGGAAGCAGCTAGATGAGGTTGGATGGTCTGCCTGCATTATTTCCACTTTCATATCCTTCATGGGTTTCTCCCATCCAACCCCAAACTTCACGAGCTGCTTCCTTTGCTCTTCATACACTGAAAAAGAAAAGAAAAAATGGCAAAGACAAATGAGATATAAAAGATCTTCTGTGCCATGTTTACACAAGATACTTAGAATGTAGCAAACCCACCTTATCTGCTGTGTCATATAAAACACTTTACTCATTTTAACCCTCCCACTGTCTTCATGGGTGACCCCACCAGGAAAGTTGACCACTGAGCAGGGTTGATGGTTTATCCCTTGAGGTCCATGTGGCAGGGGTGAGGTCTTTCCTGGTGGGGTCACCCATGAAGACAGTGGGAGGGTTAAGGCTTCTAAAATAGTTTGATTGTACACATTTTGTGAAAGACAACTGTTTAAACCTATTATGACTTTAAGGTTTATTCCAATGATTTTCAGGTTTTTGTAATGGTTTTAAAGTGTCATAATGGTCTTGGCCCTTCTAGCCTTTCTGAACTGACTTTACCATACAAACCCTCACGTCCTCTGCACTCCTCTTGCAGCCATCGCCTTGTGATCCCGAATGTCAGGACAAACAACAATGGTCAGGCGTCCTCACAATATAATGGCCCTTGCCTCTGGAGCAGGCTGCCTGAGGACCTCAGGACCAGAGAGAAACTTTAAGAACAGGCCGAAGAATGAACTTTTTTAGCTTAGCTTTTAACTGCTTATTATTTATGATTAAATTTCTTATATTTTAAGAAAGTTTTGTTATATATTTATGATTTGATATTGTTTTACTATTTCTACAATTATATTGGTCACTACTTATTCATACATTACCTCTTTTTATTTCATTCTTTTACTTATTCTAATACTTTACAGCGTTTCCTCAGTGGGAGCCCTCTGCCTCAGGGCCAGTGGTCAGCGGCAGTGGCCTGGGTGCTCTCCAGGTAGTGCTTGGGTGTAGGTGGGGGCCCTTGTCCTCCCTCCTCTGTGAGACCTGTCTCGGTGCCCTGGCTGCTGCTGTGGATCTACTGGAGTTGGATCAGACGGCTCGCCTGATGGCGTTTCCTGACTCATCTGAGTTCTGCCCAGTGTTTGCATATGTTCTCTAATGTGTTGTGTGTGCATGTGGGTATGTGTGTGTGTGTATATGCGTGTTACTGGGTCGGGGAAGGGGGTTTCAATTGACAATGAATTTTGTGGGATATGTCAGGTCTTTTCAATCTGTGGGTCATTTTTTTTCTTCCTCTGAAGCTATTTGAGTTTCATTTTTTTGTTTGAAAAGCGCTTTATAAATAAAGTTGTAGTTTGAGTGTAACCAGAAAAAAGCCAAATACCTGTCTCAACAAATCTACGCAAGTAGCTTGTGATCTAACATTTCACAGCAAGAGGAGATTCGCTGTCATCCTCCAGCTCTTCTTCATCCGGCCAGGTGATGTGGTCCAGAACCATCTGAATGTGACAAAATAAAATAGCATATGATTAAAAAGTGAAATTAGGAAATGCTCATATTTATTGAGTTTTAAGAAATGAATACCTCAGCATTGCAATCTGCCTTTTCCTGGCATCGGAATACGACAGATAAGACATCTGACCTGGCCAGATGTCAGTGCATCCCTGTCCTGGTGGACCAAGGGCTACAAAGAATGAACCTGCGGGCTGGACGTGGCCCACAGACTGTCAGCTGAGTCTAAACAGTGCCTGAAAATAGGATCCCCGAGAAAGGAAACAAGAGTTAAAGGTTTCAAATGATTACTTTTTATTGTTTTACTGGTGATTAAAAAAACTAATTGTAACTATCAGGCTGATATCTAAAATGTTTATTTTTTTAATCAGAAGTTGGTTAGTTGGTGCTGCCTAATCGTTGCAGCTTTGATGGCCAGCAATTAGTAACTCCCTTATACATGTAATTCAAGCAATATACACGCAATTTAAAAAGTAAAATGCTCATTATACAACTTATAAGTATAATTATAACTTTGCCGCACGTCATGTGACCATCACGGGAGCCCTGGTCACGTGACGCAAGTCAGCTCCATTTAACTGTTTTCTTTGACCAAGGAAGGACAGTGTCCTCAAAGCCTGACATTGAGAAACACCCCTGGGATTATACCCAAACACAGTGGCCTTAATGCAAGACTTCAGTGTTAGCAGTGGCGTTTTTGTTTCTGCTAACTTAGCAAAGCAGCTCATATAAACTTTAGCTAGACTACATATTTGTACAAATATCTTATAAGGCCTTAATAATGGTATAAATAGCATGACGTTATGTTAGTGTGTCACCTTGTCTAAATAAAAAGACGAGGAAATGACTAAAATAAGTTTAGAAAGTCCTTTGAAATGTACTTACCCCAGCTCGTTCAGCCATCGCGAACTGCAGACGGCAGCGGACTGAAAGCCGAGGGAAAAACGCAGCTCTCACTCTGATTGGTTGCGCCTGTTGTCCTGGAAACCAGAGCCGACCAATGACAACCCTCCCTCTGTGGCTCCTCCTTCCGCCCCCACCCTCGCCCTCACCCCCTGCTCCGCTCGCCTCTGCAGATACACACAGCTGCAATTTGCAACACACAACCTGCCAGAAGTGTTTCAAAAGTCAGACTCGCGAGAGGAGAGTTGTGCGCTTGTAAAACAACAACTGAGCATGCGCAGAAACGTATTTGAGAAGTTGTATTTACTGGGTCGCAGAAGAAAATTTTACATGTAAGTTTATTTTGTTTCACATACAATTTACTTTTTCTTACAAGTACCATTTATCTTCACAATTTCACACATGTTGATGTGCAGCTTCTCACATTTTAATGCACAGACACTCACCTCAAAACTTCAAGCTCACCTTTTACGGTACACACACTCACATCCAATCTTCAAGTCCACATTGTGTTGTACGGAATCAGACAAAAAATTTACAAACTTGTGCATTTTGACACATATTAATCGTGAAAATAGTTTCAAAAATCAGATGTGTGAGAGGAAAGCTGTGCAACTGTAATAAAAAAGTTGAGCGTGTGCAGAAACAGATCTGTACACTTGTGTTTACAGACTTGTAGTTGAAAATGTCACACACAACTGTATTTTATTTCAAATGCATGTGAGTGTTTCTTACAGGTGCATATTTAGCTTTACAGGTTTACGGGTGTTGGTGTACAGCTCCTCACACTGTACTGCACGCACACACACACACTGTTTTCAAGCACCCATCATGTAGTACAAATACACACAACAGATCTACAGGTTTGTGCTTTTTGAAACAGATTGACCTTCATAGAAGAGGGAGGATCAGACTCAGACACACAGCAGAGCACATGCGGGTGGAGGGAGACGAGAGGGAATGAGGAGGAGGAAAAAGGCGGGCGAGAGAGAGGAGAGTGTGACGAAGACGGTGAGAAAATGAGCGCCAGCTGTCAGAAAGATTATTGAGAAAGTAGTTCACTCTCAACTTTCCAGTTACTTAGGAGATCATAGCCTCCTCGATCACTTTCAGTCTGGCTTTAGACCTCACCACAGCACAGAAACTGCACATCTTCATGTATTAAATGATATTCTGGTGGCAACTGATTCTGGTTCCCATGTCCTTCTGTTACTCCTGGAACTCTCTGCTGCCTTCGACACAGTGGACCATGACATCCTACTTAGGAGGTTGGAGATGAGGTTGGGGGTAACAGGGATCCCACTTCATTGGTTCAGATCATATTTGTCAAATAGACAATTTAGTGTTCACATTGACAGTTTTTCCTCTCCATCTACTCCACTTTGCAAGCTTGTGCCTCAGGGTTCGATTCTAGGGCCACTCCTATTCTCGATTTACTTATTGCCATTCGGGATGATTCTGACTAACCTTGGAACAAGTTATCACCTTTACGCGGACGATTGCCAGATTTTTCTGGCTTTAAGTATACCTGACTCAACACGCCTCCTTGTCAACTGGAGAACTTCCTTTGCCTTAACGAAAACAAGACTGACACCATTCTTTTTAATCCAATAAATCCAACGCATGCACCTGGTGACTACCCTCTACCGTTTTTAAATCTTAAATCCTGTGTATCCAGTCTGGGAGTGAAACTTGACTCTGATCTGTTAATGAGTTCACAAATTAATTCTACAGTCCGGTCCTGCTTTTTCCAACTTCTTCGCATCTCGCGCTTAAAGTCATTAGTCAAACGACCTCAGTTGGAGTCTGATGTTCACGCCTTTGTAACTACACGTTTAGACTACGCGAACTCACTACTTGTTGGTGTCAGCGCCTCAGCAATTGAGCGTCTACAGAGTGCAAAATGCGGCGGCTAGGTTCCTGACAAACACCTAGAGATGCTGTCACATTTCACCCGTCCTTGCACGCTTGCACTGGCTGAATGGTCAAGCCCCGGCTTATCTTTCAGAACTGATAAAGCCTTATGCTCCAACCAGAAACCTGAGATCTGCAGATCATTTGCTTTTGTGCGTCCCGAAAATGAGGTATAAATCACGTGGAGAGCGGGCATTTGCGTTCACTGCTCCTAAACTCTGGAATGCTCTCCCCCTTTGTGTTCGACAGGCCCCAGAACTGGGTCGATTTAAGTCGGTACTAAAGGCCTTCTTCTATCATTTAGCTTTTATTCAATGATCTAGTTTTTAGTGTTTTTACGTTTTATTGTGGCTTTGTATTTTATTGTTGTATGTTTCTTTTACAATTTTTTTAGCTTTTACCTCTTACCTCCTATATGACTTTTATCTGTTTTTATCTTGGGGTTTGTTCTTTTTACTGTACAGCACTTTGGTCAGCTGTCATGCTGTTTTTAAATGTGCTATACAAATAAACATGGTATGGTGTGGTAGAAAGTGGAGATTTCTTAAAGTGTTCAGTTATTAAATCCATAGAAATGATAAATATTTGATATATTGCATTTTTTTCATTAGTAAATCATTTTACATATAGTTTTGCATTATTTTGGTTATAAATGTACTCTACGCAACAAAAAATCTGAGGAGCCACTTGGGAGCCGAAAGAGTCAGCTCTTTTGATGAGCTGAGCCAAAAGAACCGGCTCTCTAAAAAGAGCCTTAATTCCTATCACTAGTGGAGAAACAAGCCAAACCCCTCCCTCCCCTGTGTAATCAGGAAACATCTACGGATAGTTGGAGTGGCCAAATGACCTCAGACATGTTGTAAGGGTTTGAATAGTAAAGTATAGAGTTAACTTTTATTTTGAAGGCGAGCTCAACGGGTAAGAAATGTTTTTTTTTTCTCTGGTTTGCTATGCTAGTAAATACTCAGTTACAAGCGATTCTGTTGAAAAAGTTAAGAGTTTGTAAAGCGTGGGTTACGGCGACAGTAGCCTGAAAATAATACTCATAAAAGAGCAACCAGAGACTCTGAGTCATTACAGTACAATCGCTGATATGAGCCAACACTGTCAGATTCCAGCCATGTTTGCTCTAATAACTAATAGCTCCATGGTGCTTGACCCATGTGATCTTCAGTAGATGCGATTACATCATCATTAATTTAGCTAAACATGATAGATTTTTTTTCTCTGGACAAGAAATATACGTTATGACCCACCTGTAAATGAAATTTAAATAATTTTACATTAATTATAAATATATAATTAAAAAGTGCCTGTGGGACATTTGATACACCTCTATCTCTCAACTGTGTGTGTGTGTGTGTGTGTGTGTGTGTGTGTGTGTGTGTGTGTGTGTGTGTGTGTGTGTGTGTGTGTTAACAGACAGCTGTACCAGTGTTTCTAAGCTCAGACTGGTAGAGAATATGCACTAAGGTTAGAGGGACTTTACGGAGTTTTGAACTTTTATGCTCGCGATTGCCCCCTCAGGCCAAAAGCGTAACGGCAGCTTCAATAGTAGGCTTGTGCATGAGGCGCGCATGCTGTATGTCAGGGGTGGGCAATTATTTTTTCCATGGGGCCACATGAGAAATAGAAAATATTGTGGAGGGCCAGGCCAAAAGGCTGAAGTCAATTATGCATAATATTAATGGTATTTCTTTATAAAAAGCAGTAAATACTATCATTTTTTCAAGCTGGTAAGAGTAGACTATATGTTATAAATGAGCAAAAAGGAAAAAGTGAGGTTGGCTTACAAAAATGTGATTTATTCAAATTTCCCAAGGCAATGGTAAACAGTGCGCACATTTGGTTTTTGTTAAACATTTGTGACTTATATTAGTTAACAGTTTCAGTCACATTCACTCCAAAACACATTCTGGGTTTCAAATATTGTTGGAAAGAGGTTCTTAGCATTCTACAGACACACAGTATTGTCTGTAAAATAAAATCACTGAACTGTGATCTTGAGAAAGAGGTTTAAAAAAAATGTCCCAGTTCACTGCTAGTTGCCTACATTTGTGGTCCAAACACCTTATTTTGTGTTTTTAAGCAATTTTTTTCTTATTCAATGAGAGAAATCTAGTCTCTGCTGGGCTTTAACGAGTGCATCAAAGTCAGGTTGAATGTCTGAGGTGGAGATGCGAAGCACAGCTGACAAATGATCATCAGTGAGAGAGGATCTTTACCTGGATTTTGTAAACTTCATCATTGAAAATGTTTGTTCACAAATGTAGGTAGAGCCGAAGAGAACCAACATCTTCTGAGCATGTCTCTTCAGGTTTGGAAAGTTCTCCTTAAGAGAAGAGTAGAAATCCAGCAGAGATCCTGAATCTCTGCTTTCAAGTCCCAAACCCTCTTCAGCACTTTCCCCAGGCTGAGCCATCTGACAGCTGTGTGGAGTCCTCCAGAAGAGCCACAAACTGTCTGTGATTCATTGCCCGCGCCCTGATGAAGTTTATTATTTTAGTAACAACATCAGTAACATGGTTGATTTTTAGCACTGACTTGCACAACACATGTTGGTGTATAATTCAATGCAAAAACACCTATTTTTGATCTGCATCGATTTCTGTCACTTTATCTTGCATTCGTTTCAAAAGTCCGACATTTTTCCCTATAAGATTTGGACAACCGTCTGTTGTGACACCTGACAGTCTCTCCCATTTCAATCCCAGAGTGTCCATGCACGCATTTACCTCTGTAAAAAGATCACTCCCTGTCGTTGTCCCTTTCATCGACCGCATTGCTGCCCGCTCCTCTGTGAGCTCCGTTATCCCCGGACAAATACGAGCAGCTGGGCTGTGTCTCGGACATCACAGCTCTCGTCTAATGAGAAAAAGTCAAAACTTGCCACTTCACGTTGCAGCTGAAGCTCCAGGTTCCCCGCAATGTCCTCGATCCTCCTGGTCACGGTTCGCCTGGACAGCGGGATTTGCTCAAATGCGCCTTTTTTTCAGGGCATATTAGTGCTGCGGAGTCCACCATGCACTCTGACAAACTCTCCCTCCGAAAACGGCTTGCTGTTTTTAGCTATTTTGTGGGATATCACAAAGCTGGTCCTGGTTGCTGCATCCCTGGATGTGTGAAGCTTAGTAAAACAGCCTTGCTGCTTTTGCAACTTTGCTAGCAAAGCTTCGGATGTCCGTGCCCTCTCAGCATCAGATGAGTTCTTGTATTTTTCCGAG